ATTATATAAGTAAATAATAGATAATAAAGTTTATTAACATTTAATTCTTTTAATGTAGGAGTATCCGAAACTAATTCTATATTCATATTTGATAAAATATAATTTTTAGCAAACAAAAATGAGTATAATTAACGAATTAGAATGTGAAAAAAAAGATTTTAGAATATCATCAAACCGTTAGATTAATTCATTTTAGTCATACAAAGCTTCATATTTTTTATTCCTTTTTATTTTTTGGTGAAAATATTTTTAATTTCTTTATTACACACACTTACCTTTATAATTACTAATAGACATTGTTATAATTTAAGTTTTTTTAAAAAAAAAATTTATTTCAACCAAATTATCTTGTATAACGATCACAGAATGTATTGTAGATCTTACCGCAGTATGAGGCACAGCACTTTAATTCATTGATAATTAATAAAGATAGAAATAGTGATAATTTGAATCGGAAATTTTTTTTGTTTTAATTAGATACAAATGATATTTTTGGTTGTTTTCAAATTTTCTTTAAAATAATTAACATCGCATTCGCATTATGAAGATAAAAATTACAAGGCACGTTTTTTCGCATAGCGATTTATCACATTAAGGTTATCATTTGTTATCATCTTTCTTGAAATTTTGATTTTTAAAATAAAAAGTCTTTAAATTATTGATATTTTGTGCATTGTAATGCAGTCCCCGGCTAATTGCATCTCTAGTTGTCAGATAACGATAACGGAACGTAATGTATACATGCACATACACTCCCCTCCCAAAATATATCCGACCACTTGCCGATCATTTTCCGATCATTTGAAATTATACCGATTCTTTCGATATGAAAAAATCATCGAGATCTTATTAACGTTTTTTCTTATAATTAAGTCCAAAAAATATGGGCGGTTTACTATCAAAAATCACGTTACGGATGAGATTTATTATGACTCGAGACTCGATTCAAATAGCAAACGACAATTATATTTCCTTCAATTTCCTTCTTAATCATAATAATTTAAAAAAAATCTGTCTCCATAGTTGAAATAAATCGCCTTCGCCACTATTTTTTAAGAATTTTTTTTTTAAAAAAAAAATAAATTTCAGCTTCAGACACAGTTAAGTTTATTAAAAATTTGTTTTTAGGTTTATTTTATAAAAAGGAGTTAAATACAAGAAAAAAGTAAATTTTTATTCAAGTAAATTCGCAATAACATGATTTAATCAAAAATCATGAAAAAAGAATATCCAAAAAGTTCAAATAAGTATACTTGAATCCATTTATCTAATTTTTTTTACACATGTATTACCATTTTTATTATTTTTTAGCGTGGCAAAAATATTAATTCCCACTAAAATGATTTAAATTTCTCGCTTACTCAATTTAATACAGTTTCTGTGAAATAGATTTGTGAAATATAAAAATTGCGAAACTTAAAATAATTTTTTTATTTTAACTTCAAGATTTTTTTTTTTTTTCTTTTTTTTTAGGTAATTTATCTTCGGATGCTAAATGCTGATTGCTATACATGAATAAAACTAATGCAAAAGCCTTTGAAGATGCGGGCAAAATTATCAATTCTTTGTAATCGACTACCATTTCATCTGTTTATTTATTCTACATTTATCGTTATTAGTAACGGTTTCGTCATCTGAAAGTTCAATCGCCTCTGGTGTTATAAGTTGGGAGGACGTCATTAAAATGGGAAAATCCGTAGTTATACCAGTAAAAAAAATTTTAACCGAACAATTTACCAAATGTGTCCATTCTATTTAGTCGTCACCGAAAAATGATCCGACCACATGAGTGCATAAACAAAATTTATTCAATGTCTGAAAATAACGATAAAGGTAACTTGTAACTAAACACCTTAAAATATATTTACCTAAACGAGAATAATTATTATAAAAGTTTTTTTTTTAAAAAAAAAAATTGCAAAATATTAGAGCAGCTTTTCGGATGATAAGAATACTTCTTCATTAGAAGAATTATATTAGAGCCCAGTTTACAATGATAATGCCCTGTAAAAAATTTTTTTCCGTGATTTGAATCCGTATTTATTCCATGTTTTAAATCAGTGGTATTTCCGTCGATTTCAATAAATAAACTAATCCGTGTTTTTTCCATATATGTAGCATATTCACGGAATTAATAAGGATATTTTACTGATTTTACTGAAAATAATATATATATATGACGGAAAAAAATACTGTAATTTTATTGAATAATAAAACTGATATTTATCGGAAAAAATACTGTAATTTTATTGAATAGTAATATGGATGTATAACGGAAAAAATAATGTAGTTTTTTACCGGTATATAAGCAATATAACCGAAGAATCATGTAATTACTGTATAATAATATGCATAATAATGGAAAAAAAGCTGAATATATATTTCAATAAAAAAAATAAAAAAACTAATAAATTACCGAATTATTCTTCTATACTCTTAATTCTCTTACTAGTTCTTCGTGTATAATTTTCTGGAATATTTTCAATTGTTTTCTTTTGCTTTTTTTACCTATCAATAGAAAATTTAAACTTATATATGTGTAAAAAGAAATAATAAATTTGTATTATATTCATTATGCTATACCTTTTGGAATTTCATCAGATACTTTCGGAATGCCAGTTTCTTTTGAAATTTTGAATTCCTTCGTAGCAGCTTCTGGTACAACTGGAGTAGTTGCTTTTTTATCCAATATTCAATAATAATGAAATTAAAATATTATAATAAAGATAAAATGAATTTAAACGTTGAATACCTAAGGTTTGAAATTTCAAAATATTCATGGTAGCGGTGTTAAATGCATTTTAGCTGATTTAGATTTAGCACAAGCTAAAGGGTTAGGGTTAGCATTATATTATTTCAGGGACTTGCAAGCTATCATCATTTTTTTCATGCATAGAATTATCTATTTTATGCTTTAATTTAAGAAGAGGTCGATATTCTTCTTTTTTAGTACTGTACGTAACGGTAGTTATTCGGCTCGAAGTGCCGGATAAGTGATTTATCCGATTTCCCGTGATTAAGCTATTTTTTAACTTTTTTAAACTTTTTTTTATAAATAAATAATATTTTTTTTTCCACAAACAATTTTTTCTCACGATATTTTTCTTTTTTTACAAATTTTACAAATAATTTACTTTCACAAACTAAATTCCGTTAATGGAAATTGTAGTAATTTTAAATATTAAAGCTCATAGGATGAAGTTTGTCTGATTGGCTAATGTACACTCCCCTCCAAAAAATATCCGACCACTTGCCGATCATTTACCGATCATTTGAAATTATAGCTGATTTCG